GTCTTTCTCTGGCAAGCTCATCCGTTCCCAACCCTTATCCTCTTGAAGGTCAACTTGTTCCTCAAGAAGAGTCGTTAGAAATACCCACGCCCCAGCCGGCAGTCGTAACAACTGGAGCTTTTGAAGAGCTCTGACAATAGGTGGCCACGCTAACTCAGCTGTTGAGTCAAAGAAATTCGCATCCATCACCAGTACCAACAGATCATGGTGGTTTTATGAATGATGCTCGAGCCCGAGCATCGAACCCAGTAACTGGCAAAGGTGGAGTAGGAACCTCGGGTGTCCATAATATAGCCTCGGGCTTGAGATTAGTGACTATGGATTTCGGTAAGATTGCCCGAATTATTCAAAAAGGGATTACAGTTGGCTTGCTTCGAAATACTCGAGGGCAAACGAGGTTTACCCCAAATACTCCATTTACGCTAGAGATATTATCATATCCTTTGCCTAACAGATTCAAGTGTCCTCGTATTAAAGAATATGATGGGAAGATCGACTCGATCAATTACCTCAATGTGTATACCGATGTAATGAATTTGCAGGTGGCACCAGATTAGGTAATGTGCAAGGCCTTCCCGCAAATGTTGACAAACGCTGCTAGGGATTGTTCTCAACAGTGGAGCCTAATTTCATAGCCTCATTCTCAGACTTGGCTGATAAGTTCTCAGCCTTCTTTGTAAGTAGCAAGCGCATCAAAAAGAATGTGGCCTCTCTCATGCAACTTCGTCAAGGGCAGAACGAAACCCTATGTTGTTTCATGACAAGGTTTAACAAAGAAAGGCTCCAAATACTCGACCTTCACATTACCACAGCTATCTCCACCCTCACCTATGCCATAAGGTGTGAGGCCTTTAAAATGTCCTTATCAAAAATTTCGTCGCAGACAGTGACCAAGCTCCTTACCTAAGCTAAAAAGTATATTCATATGGAGGAAACATTGAATATGAGGAGAGTTGGTCTACCTCGCGAGAATGTCGAGCATAAAGGCAACATGATTCCATTTATCAGCAAGAGCATCCTCGAGATAAGCGTAGGAATGAAGTGTCACCAGGGCCTCTTACCCGGTTTAACACCTCCAAGGCTAATATCTTAATGGAGATCAAGGATATGAAAGAACTGAAGTGGCCTTCA